CCCCAAAAAAGTATTAATAATAATAATAATAATACTTTTAAAACAAAAATACATGGAATTATACCCACATTAGGATAAAGTGCCTGACATATAAGAAGTGGACCTGGGGGGCCCTGTAGACATGGCTTGGGGTTGAGAGCACTTGTTGCTTTTCCAGGGAACCTGGGTTTAGTTCCCAGCATCCTCCACACCGGACAGCTCACAACTGTCTGTAATTCCAGTTCCAGGGGATCGGACACGTCTGGCCTCTGTAGGCACCTGCATTCTGTCATGCTATTCTGCACACACAATTTAACACAGTAAAAGTAAAAAGAAGTGGACCCAAGCGCAGAGCTGAAGGGATTCAGGAAGAGGACTCAGTCTTAAGTTCAGTTGCATAAGTTCACATAGCAAAGGCCCAGCCTAGGAGGCTCCAGGGCCCGGGAATCTTGCTGTCTAGGACAGAGTTAGAGCAGTCCTCAGCTCTGGAATTTTCCTAGCTCACAGAATCCCTCCTGCAGGTGGACGGTGGTCTTACTCAGTTGCAAGTCGAGTGAGGTGGGATCAGGGGACCTGTCCCCAAGGGCAGTGCTCTTCACTGGTACAGGCTCAGGCCAGGGCTTGGGACACTTTCCTGTCCCATGTGAACGAGGCTACCCTAGAGTCAGGGGCCTTCCTCCCCACCCACTTTCCTGGCCTCTGACAATAACCCTTAAGGGATCTGTAGCGGACAATGACCAACAACACCCTCCCAATAAGCGATTATAATTCCAGCTGGGCTGCCTGTGGCCCAAAAGTGTGTGTGTACGCAGGTATGTGCCCAGGCCCTTCTGCATGCCTGTGTGCTGTTTTCTGTAGCTCCTCCCAGGGACCAGCTGCTCTGAGTTTCAGACATGAGGGACATTTCTGGTCCTCCCGTTCAGGACAAACCATGTCTTTTCTGCCCACTCTTACCTGACCCCTAAGCCTAAAATCCAAACACCCTCCAACCCAAACCCAGTCCAAGGACAGCTTCTTTTCCCCTTTAACTCAGGAAGAGGTTTTGGTGACTTCGGGAAAAAGAAGTCAATGTGCTCTCTCTGAACTGAACCCTGCTCCCCTCTATGGCCCCTTGAAAATGAAACGGGACTGGATCTTTTTTATCCCTACTTTCGGCTCAGATCTGAGCTCGCAACACCATCCCTTGGGCTCTGATGGCTCTCAGCTTGGGCACACCTCCCCTTGCCTCCACCCCTCCCGTTTAGGGCACGCTCATGCCACGTGTGAGTCCCACCTCGTCCATGCCTTTGGCTTCTAAGCGTCTTGCCATTTGTCCCGTGCCGTGCCCCTCACCCGCCGCAAGCCTGCAGTTCTGGCCTCTGCTCTGCCTGCCCTCCTGACAGCCCCCTGGGGCTGTGCACTGGGCAAGGGCTGGTGGAAGTGAGTTTGGCTCCGAGGATCGTGGTGGCTCTCAGGCTGGAGCTATCGAGGAGAGGAGAAAGAGGGCTGGGGTGGCTACTGCATGGCGGCGGGGGTAGGGCAGAGGTATGGCCACTCTTTGTGGGTTTGGCTCCCTCTGTAGATCTGGGAAAGCCCCCTCCGGCATCTGGCAGAGCCAGGGCTTAGTAGCCATAAGCCGTCCATACAGGGCTGTGAGGGAACCTCCAAGCTGGTGTGGATAAAACCAGAGGCATGCAGAGACAGCTGTTTGCTGCTTCAGAGAAACTGGGAGTTAAAATTTTCCTATCAAATCCCCACTTAAAAAATTATTTTGGGGCTGGAGAGATGGCTCAGAGGTTAAGAGCACCGACTGCTCTTCCAAAGGTCCTGAGTTCAATTCCCAGCAACCACATGGTGGCTCACAACCTTCTGTAATGAGACCTGGCACCCTCTTCTGGCCTGCAGGGATACATGCAGGCAGAATACTGTATACATAATAAATAAATAAATCTTAAAAAAAAAAAAAGAAAAAGAAAAAAAATTATTTTGTGCCGGGCAGTGGTGGTGCACACCTTTAATCCCAGCACTTGGGAGGCAGAGGCAGGCAGATCTCTGTGAGTTCGAGGCCAGTCTGGTCTACAGAACAAGATCCAGGACAGGCACTAAAACTATACAGAAAAACCCTGTCTCAGGAAGGGGGGGGGAGAGAAAAAGAAAAAATTATTTTATGTGTATGGAAGTTTTGTCTGCATATATATATATATATATATATATATATATATATATATATATATATATATATCTGTGCACCATGTGCATGCCTCGTGTCTGAGGAGGCCAGACGAGGTGGACTGGAGTTAGAGGCAGTTGTGAGCTACCATGTGGGTGCTGGGAATTCAACCCGGGTCCTCTGGAAGAGCACCCAGTGCTGTTGATCATCGAGCAAACACTCCAGAGGCACAAATCCATACCTTTTAAATGTTGGCAATTCCAAACAACAACAAAACCCTACTTTAAGGGTCAAAGGCAAGGTCTGAAGACAGAGGGGCTTTGCTCCCAGCCTTGCAGCAGTCCACAGTCCTGGGCTGAGGTTGCTCTCCAGCAGTCCCTTGCCGTGGGGTGGTGGGCAAGCAAGCTGCTTTACCCTGACTGAGTCTGTGGACTTGGTCTCCACACTCATGAAACAGGAAGAATCCAACCCTGTTCTCTCTGGCTGTCACACGCAACACAGACCCCTGAGCACAGTGCCCGGCACACGCCGTCACTTCTCACAGTTTTCTGTGAAGCCCGCCCGCTTTACGGGAGCTCTCCAGACCTTCTGTGACTTCAGCTAAAACCACTTTCCCTTCCTGGGCCTGTCACTGCCTGAAAAGGAGATGGTATCTCACCGAAGAAGTTCTGAAGTCTCTGCTCACCTTGGCCACAGCGTGCCAGCCGTCTCTTTTGTGTATGAGCAGGGCTGGGGGATGGCTCTGGAATGTCTGTCTTCCTTGCCTTGGAGGCCTAACGCTCCTCTCCTACAGGCGTTCTTTGGGGTCCTGCAGTAGCTGTCCCCCTCAAACTCTAACACACACACACACACACACACACACACACACAGAGTCCTCCAGTACTGTAGCATCCGCTCTTACTAGCCATTCATATTTTTGTGGTGAGGAGTTTGAAGCCAGCCTCTTCATTCCATTGGATGTTGGCCTCTCTCCTTGGAAGCGTTTCTTGAATTGCAGAGAGAATGGTTTTAGGACACTCATGTGAATGGTTCCTGTCCTGGCCTTCACATCCACCCTCTCGATTGATGTTTTTATTTTTGTCTTCCCGTGAGTCTGAGACTCAGCCTAGTGACTCAGTGTCACCGGACTCCAGTGTGCCCCTGGTTCAACTCCAAAAGCCACACCAGGCTGCTGCCTTTTGCACTGGGCCAGGCTGTCAGAGCTTTAGGGGTTCCCAGCTTGGTACCAATGGTCCTGGGCTCTGCGGGTAGGGAGGGGGCATCAGAGGAAGAGGTCTAGGTGGTACCTCTGGATGGAGCAGTGTGTGTGTGTGTGTGTGTGTGTGTGCGCGCGCGCGCGCGCGCACGTGCGCGTGCACGTGTGTCTGGAGGTCAGAGGACAACCTCAGGTGTCACTCTTCACCTTGTAAAACATTTATGTATTTATTTTGTGTGTGGGTGCACGTGTGTGTGTATATATGCACTCCACTCCAAGGCACGTGTATGGAGACAAAGGACAACTTGCAGGAACTGGAATCGGTTCTCTCCTTTTGCCACGTGGCTTGAATTGAGGTCGTTAAGCTTGGTGGCAGGTGTCCCTTTTGCCTTTTCAGACAGGGTCTCTCATTGCTCTGGAACTGCACCAAGTCTAGGCTAGCTGGCCAGCAAGTTCTAGGCATCCACCTCTTTCTACCTCCCATCTCAGCATCCCTGGAATTACAGGCCTGTCCTAACACGCCCAGATTCTTACTCGGGTCCAAGGGATCCAAACTCAGGGCCTCACATTTTTAGGCAAGCATTTCTTTCTGACTGAGCCACGACTCCAGCCCTCCATTCCTACTCTCTCTATGGGTATTCGAAAGCCCTCTTCCCCTGTCTGTCAGATCTCCTGCAGCCCCTGCAGTATGAATGGAAACCAAGGCCACGCTAAGGCGTGCTGACCAGGGCACCCCTCACATTAGACCCCTCTGTGTCCTCACCGCCCTTCCTCCCTCAAGCCCTGCTGCAGCACGTGTCTTTCTCTTTACAGGGGAGGAAATGGGCTCACGCAGTTAAGACAGGGGGGCAGGGGCTCCAGCTCTAATTCTAGTCTCAAAAGACTGAGCCCGGGCTGGGGATGTGGCTCGGGAGGGTAGCATGCTTCCCCAGCGTGCACAAAGCCCTGGGCGTGAGACTCTGTGCCTTTTAAACCGGGCTGATCGCACATGTTCAAAATCTCAGCACTTGAGAGGTAGAGACAGGAAGATTAGTTCAGGGTCATCTTCAGCTACATAGTATGTTTGGGGCCAACCTGGGATACATGAGACCCTGTCTTAGAAAAGGAAAAATGAACAAAGCATGCCTTCATTAGGTCCACCGGGTTAAGCAGTAGAGGAATGAGGATTGAGATAGGGACCAGAGGATTTCTTTATCTGCTTAAGGAGAGAACCACGTTTGGGTAGCAGGTGCATGGGTGAGGACCTGTAGGGCAACCCTATCACCCAGCTGCCTTGAGTGTTCCCTGCATTCCTACAATCTTGCCTGGGTAGACTCACTCACTTGTGAAGTCTCATTTAAAGTCAGAAGACCCACCCTTTTTCCAGAAGGGCCACGCCCATCCCCGGAAGGCCATTTCTTCCCTCCCAAGTCTCTGAAAAACCCAGTACTGGTTTGCCTCTGCCCACAGCGTCATGACAGGCTTGTCTGCTCAGCTGGGTCAATGGCTCCGAAGCCGAGGTAGGGCACCGGGCATGGGCCCTGCCCATGCAGGTATTTTATTCGGTTAGGAGGTCATTTGACTTGCCCAGGGTCTGCAGCTGGGAAGTAGATGAGCCAAGCTTTCTACTCACCCCGAGGGTGCCAAAGAGTGGCACTCACTCAGGCAGGTGACCGGGGCTTTCCTCTCTCTGAGCAGGTCCGGCAGCGGCAGCCTTCAAGGTGGCTACACCATATTCCCTGTACGTGTGTCCCGAGGGGCAGAACGTCACCCTCACCTGCAGGATCCTGGGCCTTGTGTCCAAAGGCCAGGATGTGACCTTCTACAAGACGTGGTACCTCAGCTCTCGAAGTGAGGTTCAAGTGTGCAAAGAGCGTCGGCCCATACGGAACTTCACATCCCAGCATGCTCATCCGCACCATGGAAGCCACCAGGCGCCCAACACCAGCCACGACCAGGCCCAGGCACACGGGCTGGAGTTAGCTTCCGACCACCACGGCAACTTCTCCATCACCGTGCGCAATGTGACCCTGCAGGACAGCGGCCTCTACTGCTGTCATGTGGTAGAAATCAGGCACCACCACGCAGAACACCGGCTCTACGGGTACATGGAGCTGCAGGTACAGACAGGTGAGCATCCTGTACAGACCGCCGTGGCTGGGGTCGGGGGAGGAGGGGGTCTGCATATCTGCCACGTGACTATGTATGAGACGATGAGTGACATGGCACTCAAGGGCCTGTGGCTGTGTAAGGAGTGGGTGCATGTGTGTGGGGTGCAGACATGTGATTATCTTGTGTGTGTGCGCGCGCGCGTCTCTGTTTGTGACAGAGTCACGTTTTCATGTAAGAGGATGTATGTACCTAGACTGGCAGTGTTACTGCTCATGGGAAAATGGAAGCAGTGTGTGTGTGTGTGTGGGTGGGTGGGGTGATAGTGTACTGAGTCAGAGTTGATCGTGAGGTGAGTAGGTGAATGTGTATATATCCGTCTGTCTGCCCAGTTGAGAATGCAAGACTTGACTGGATCAAGATGTAGGTGCCAGCAGGTACCCATTTGCCCTAGGAGGTGGCATGAGAACATGCAGGGTAAGAAAACACATGTGTGTGTGTGTGTGTGTGTGTGTGTGTGGTGTGCATGGGCTCACACTTGCATGCGTACACACACACACACACACACACACACACACGTACAGACTCCACTGGGCCACCACTGCCAGGCAGGCATTAGCATGCATTCCTGTGACAGGAGAGGCGTCACTAGCCTGGACCAACCTCCGGGACCTCATGAGCCTCACGCTCGCCTAACAGCCCTCTCTTTGTTCCCACAGGCAAAGACTCGCCACCTAACTGCACCGCGTACCCCTCTAACGAGCAGGAGAGCGACAGTAAGGACGGCCACCCCCATACCTTCTGTGCACCCCGTTTCTGTATTTACCTTGGGCCCAGATCCTGTTCTGGACTCTCACCCCAGTACCATACACCTGCAGATCCCCCATTCTCTCTCTGTGGCTTCTGTTCCCCTTCCGCCTCTTGGCTGTGGCCCTAGAATCCGCCCCCCCCACACCCCCACCCCGGCTCCTGTGGTGGCTCTCTCTGTGAAGCATGTATCACCGTTCTCACAGATATTCACACCGCCCGCTGGCACAGCAGGGACTTGACTGTCGCCTGTCCGGTTCTGTTCGCAGCCCATCCCCCGTGCCTGTGGAAAGAGACTAGGCCTGCAGACTGCAGGGTGGCTGTCAGCCCTGGTGCTGGCCCGGAGAGGGGCCTTATGGGTGATTGGAGGGCTCTGCTCTCAGGGAGGCTGGACACATAGAGGTTTATTTGAGAATGCCCTGTGGCATAAATAGTAGGCAAGGGCACATGTCTTAGGGTGCCCCACACTTCCACAAAGAGAGGGCTGGGGTTTATAGGTTTGTCAGGCACCTAGCGTGAGCCAGCTCTTGATTAGGCTCCGGAAGGGCAGAAGGGAAAACCGTGACCCTGGCCACATGCATGAGGGTTTGAGCCAGCCAAACTACATACAGCCTTGTGTAAAGCCCCAAAGACCAAAGCAACGTTCTAGTCAAATTACTCATATTTTCAAACCCACCAACGAGCTCACCGTGTACAAAACTGAATGACAAGCCACACCAGTGTGGCAGCGAGACCTCTGGTTCAAGCCCTTCTGCCGCACACCGCTGAGCTCCAGGGTCTCCTCAGCACCAAGCCATGCTGGGTCCTCACTTCCCCTCTGAGCATCCTCTTCCTTCCCATAAAGAAGCAGCTCCCGCTGTGGGCGCCATATGTATGTGCTTGAGGGACACAGTGGTGGGGCCTGGGCGACATTCACTTCCCCATGGCTCCTTCGCTCTGAGCAATCCCCCCGGCCCTGTTCCTTCCTCAAGAATCTGTCTCTGCAAACCTGCTACTTCTGCTACTGCTAGCCTGCCATGAGTGGGGGGGCAAATGGGGTTCGGGCAGGTCGTGGCCGACCTGGAACTTGCTATGTGGGGCTAGGCTGGCCTCAGACTTGCAGCAATCCTCCTGCCTCTGCCTACGGAAGTTCTGGGATTTCAGGTATGAACCGCCACGCCCGGCTTCAGCAGGACTTGGTGCAAACAGGGCCTAGGCGTTCAGTCTTGGGGGGACCGAGACCCAGGACGGCGGAGGGGAAGTGCTGGAGAAGTGTGAAGTGGACAGGCCAAGGAGGTTGGGGACTTTTCTAACTCCCGGGACTCTAGAGAAGCAAATATCCAAGGGTGAGGTAGATGCTTGAACTTGACCTCCCGGGTGGTTAGTCTTTCTTTTCCTAGCATCTCCGCCCTTGGGTTTGGATGTTTTAAAGCCTTGCCAGTTCTTGGAGCTGTGAAATCACTCTGCGGCTCCTGCTTCCTTGAGTTGTTATCCAGTGAACTGGCTTGTTGAGGGCCAAAAGAACATGCTTGATCCCATTGTGGCTGTTGAGGGCAGGGACCAACCCTGATGACCTCGGATATCCCCTTCCACATTCCTGGTTCCAGCAGTCTCCTGACACTAGCCACTAAGCCTGAGCTGGCTCCTGGGTATACTTTGGGGAGTGTGTATGGACAAGGTGGATGGCAGTATGGCTTTCTGCATCATTTCTCTGTTGAGGAATGGGGATACCTGGGTCCCTTTCGCAGGGGAGCACGTTATCTAAGGGGCGACATCAGGGATGGGAACCACTTTGTGCTCTCGGGCCCAGGGAGCTGGAGAACAAAGCAGTAGTGATGGGAGAAGACTGTGGTGAGCACCCAGCCACCAGTCTGCAAAGGGTAGGTACTTCCATCACCATGGAGGTGTGGGTTCCGCTTGATGCATGCTAGGCCTCACATCCCAAGGCAACTCGTCCATCCCTGGGCTAAGGCAGGTTGGGAAATGATGGTAAACACAAATGGTGTCTTACCACGTTTCTACGGCATTTGCCTGGCTACCCATGCCGGTTTCTAAACAGGCCCCAGGGCCGGCTGCTGAGCACCAGTCTCTACTGTTCATTAACTCTGGAAGGTCCCAACCTCAGCTCTCTTTCATACACAAGTGCTCAGCCGTAGCACTCACTGGGTCTGTATAATGATGCTTCCAGCCCAGGTCTTTGTGTTTTTTTCTTTTTCTAATTCCAGTCTGAGTGGCTAAACGTTACCCTACGGGAGTGTAGCTTAGATTACACCAGGAACAAGGCCAAGTGGGTTTCAGGTAAGAGGAAGTGTCGGGGAGGGGAAGGAACCTGCCAGAGGTGTGGGCTGGCATTTCATGGCATTGCCGAGGGGCCATGGATTTCCCCTGAGATCAGGACAGGACTGGGCAGACCTGTCTCTGTATCCTTCCCATCCCTTACGCAGCAGGATACGCCAGGTGCCTTCCTCAGCCTCCTTTGCACACACCCACAGGGTACCTGGCAGACCCTGGATGTAGACTAAGCAAGCTGGGCCTTCCCATCCTGCCTGCTCTGAAAGGGTTTGGCACATGCCATAAGGGTGGTTTTGGCAACTACTTCTACCAGCGCCTCCTCACCTTCCCAGGAAGAGCCTGGCTCCAGGTGATGACTAAGCTTTCTCTGCAATGGGTGCCACCTTGGAGTAAGGGGAACTGCAGTCAGGCCGGCTTCGCAAAGGTGTCCTGAGTCTCTGAGGCCAGCCAGGCCCACATACATTCCTCCAGAGCCTGCCCACACAGGAGCCTGAACAAACAAGTCCAGGGTATAAGGAAACAGACTCTGGAAGTGAAACCGCAGCGACCGTAGAGGGCAGGATTGCCACTTGCAGACTAGAGGGTCAGGCAGAGCGGTCCCGGCCAAATCTCCAAGGCAGGTTGTGAGCACCTGGCTAACTGCACCACGAGTTGCTTAGTAACCGTGGGACGAGAGGAAAGTGCTTTCGCAGCCAGTTTCTCAGATTGCCCCACAGTTCAGGTCCTTGGATGGGGTTTAGCCACACTGAATGGCATGAATTATAGAACGTTTTTACTTTCAATATTCCACGTTCAGATGCAGCCACATTAAAACCGGCAGGGAAGCTGCTTTCCTATGGATTGGAACTTCCTTTGCAATCTGCCGAGCAATTGGTACCGTTTCCCTACCAATGGGTACTTCTAAAGTGCCTGCCAATGGTCTGCTCAGTTCCATACACCTCACCGCGAGCCCATTTATGCCTTCACATCGCTTAGCCGTACAGTGGGATAAAAATGGCCTTTGTTCCCAAATAAAGTGCAGAGGCAGCGAATAGACCGAGGCACATCCGGCTCCTAGAGCTGTCTGGAGGTGGACCTGATCCTGTGACAAGAGATCCTAGTCATGTTTTGGCAGAGAGAAAGGCTCAAATTGGGAAGGAAATGGGCTTACCCTGGTTGTGGTTCCAAGGGCTTGTCTGTTCCCAGCTAAACTCCTGGAGTCAGCAGATGGACTGAAATAAACCAACCCCCTTACGATACGAGGCTCATGCGGTGGCCCGACCCCTTCCGAGACAATTTTGCAACAGCCTAGGAGGAAACACGCACACGATGCTCCCTGGCTCAGCCCTTTGATGCTAAGTGCCTAGGTCCAGATGTGCTGCCCGGGTGAGCGGGAATCTGAGCCTGAGAATTCCTCGTTGCACAATGAGGATTGTCGAAAATGGAATTTAACAGTGTCCCCGCCAAACAGGGCTGTCTCCATCGATCTGGGGCAAGCTGTGGATAATAGAGCCCTGGGAAGAAAGAAGTGGGTCTCTGTGTAGACAGACAGATGTCCAAACTGTGCTTGGGGGTCAGGAGAATATTCTTATGTGATCCCATAAGGTAAGACCAGCTCTAGATAGATGAGGACTGTGGAGAAGGGGAAGGAAGAGACTTGAATTTTCATATGTGTTTACATTCCTGTGTGTGCATGTATGTATGTGTATGTGCAGAACCAGAGTTAGACACTGGGTGTCTTCCTTAATTGCTCTCTACTTAAGTTTTTGAGGCAGATTCTCTCACCGAATCTACAGCTTATAGTTAGGAGAAACTGGCTGGCCAGTGATTCCCACGGACTCTCCCATCTCCAGCTCCCCATCGCCTCGGTTTACAGTTACATGTGGCCACAACGGGCTTTTTAAAAGGATTCTGGAGAGCCAACTCTCAGGTGCTCATGTTTGCACAGCAAAC